CGAATTAGTTAGCTATTGCGAAAGTATGGGGAAAAGTATTGTATCCCTTTGCGCTGATGAAGTTACATGCTGCGGAGCAATCCCAACAGTTTTTCTTGATTACTATGGTACCGGCAAACTGCGCAAAGAGCGAGCTTTTCGAGTTGTTAAAAGCATGGCTAAAGCATGTAACGAAATTGGATGCTTATTAGTTGGTATCGTCCATTTTATTATTCTGGAATTCCTTTAAAAGTCAAAAAGTATTCGCGGTTTCATTATTTGCTTTCTGCAGTAATATAAAGTTTCTTTAGGAGGAGAGACTGCTGAAATGTCGGGTGCTTTTGATGATCATCAATGGGATTTGGTAGGTTTATGCATTGGAGTGAAACCGCGCTGGACATGTCAGCTGGACGCACCGTAAATTTAGTATTATTTTCCGGTAAATCGCAACTATATTCTTCAGTTACCTCTCTCACCTTTCAGCATGGAGGATGGAGATGCGATTGTCGGTTTGACCTGTGAATCTTTACGTTTCAGCGGCTTCCCACTTGTCGATAGAATTTTCAAAGCAGGAAACATTTCATATTCTCAGCCGTGCTTATGGAATCAGGATAAGATGTTAGGTAAAGTTATGCTTTATCGACTTTTTAAATACAAAAATTATCGTTATCCTTGCCCATTTGAAAATCCTATCTGTACATTCGTTTTTATCACTCAAAAAAAACTGTTCCTCAGCTACCTATTTATAGGTGAAGTCCTAATGGGATTAACCAACAGTTACACTAACACTATAATATCTGTTTTATCCTCTGGTCATGTCCTTAGGGCAGTCGTTGTTAAAGAGGGTGGACTCGAGGGATGTCTTCTTCAGTTAACTGGTCCTTCTCTTAGACCTGTTATTGTAAGCGACATGTTAATGATCTTAATTATTTACTGAGGTCGATGAACGTAATAAAGAGCATGCTAAGTGTTTTTTTTAAAAATGGTTGTAGGGATTTCAGCTAGATTACCATCTTACTTGTTATAGGATTGCGGCTCTTGGGAAATTGGAGAAGTGTTTCAGTGGATAAAGTTTAGGGGAGGGGTTTCTTTCGAGGGAATGATGCAAAACTTCAACTGTGGCATCGGAATGGTGCTGATTTGCAAGAAATACGCTGCAGAAGATGTACTTTATGAGATTGAAAGCAATGGCGGACACGCGGTTGTGATTGGAAATCTGGAGAAGAGAGATGGTTTGATTTCTAAAATTTTTGTATTGTCAAAGTTCTCCGTACAACTAACTTCTTTAGATAAGGAGCGTATTAAGTACATCTGTCGAAAAGAACCGTTTTGGATGCAGTTTGGTAGCGTAAAACTGTTGAAAGTTGCTGTCATGATTTCTGGAACAGGTTCTGTTGGTCTAGAGTTTTTACTTCCTTCCTTCTCTTCCTTCCACCTTCTGGAACTCGTGAAATTGTTTACAGTTTTTTTCTTGAGCATACAGGCAGTGTTCATCGCTTCATTGCTCTTGAACGGAATAAATGTGTGTAATTGATTTAGAATCTAAAATTTCTGAACTGTATTTTTTCAACTGGATGGTCTGTATTACTCATTGACTCCCGTTTTCTAGGGTGATGGAAGATGTGACTAGTGAGAGATTTCTGACATCATTATTGCAGGGACAAATATGGCAAAACTCATAGAAAGTTGTTTGTCTCCCGATAGTGCCTGCCGTGTGGTTCTCGTGATAAGTAACCGAGAAGATGCGAAGGGCTTGGAGGTTGCCAGGAGCTATGGGATTGAAACGCTCGTTGTGCCTTTCTCGTCCAAAATTCACCAAAAACACTTTGAGGATTTTGTTGCTGCTGTGAGCTTAGAACTCTCGTTCTTTTACAGCGATTCTTTTTTTTTTTAAAGATACAGGGCTGTTTTTTGAGCTTTTTTCTAATTTTTTGATTTCCTTTTTCTGATTCTCTTGGTTTCGCTTCAGGAGTAGATACAGGTGATGTTCTGCCCCATTGGTACAGCAATGAGTTTGACATTATTAATACAACTCATCCTTAGTTTCTGGCTTGCTACATCTGATGATAAAGCATTGCAGCATCTGGAGAGAAGATGGATAAGTATTATATGCCTTGCTGGTTTTATGCGGATTTTATCGGGAGGATTTGTGAGACGCTTTTATCACCGAATATTAAACATTCATCCATCACTTCTGCCTCAGTTCAAAGGGGCGCATGCTATTCAAGACGCATTAAACGCTGGAGTTAAAGAAGCTGGCTGCACAGTACACTACGTATCCGTAAGCTCATATTTCGTATCATTTCACTCTGGATAGAAAGTTCTGCGTTGATTAGAGAAATACTCTGTAATTCAGGAGGAAGTCGATTCTGGTGAAATCATTGCGCAGGAGTCGGTGCCTGTTTTCAATGACGACACAGTCGAAACTCTTCGCAAAAGAATCCAGGAGAAGGAGCATGTCTTATTTCCATATGCACTACAAAAAGTGGCAAAGCAGTTAATTTGAGAGATCTTTTGATTTTATAAAGAGCAGGCTAATTATGCAAAGGCATGCTTAGTTTTGATTTCTAGTGCAATATTCTGGTTGTTCCTCAAGAAAAGTATTTACCCGTTTTGTATGTGCGGTGTCTCAGCAGATGGTTTTCAGTAGGTGTAAATTATGCGGTACATTCACATTAAAGTACAAAATAATAGCCAGCTAGTGGCAATTCAGGCTGTACGGTTGCAGTCTTTTCACTTCTCAAAATGCTGATTAAAACGAAGTTAGTTTTTGGCGAGCTGATGATGCAGGCAATATGAGGTGGTACACAATGGTTTTTAAGTACGAATTCCCAAACTGTATCACACAGCATATGCCGCATTAAATGCTGGACAAATTTTTAAGAGCGTTTGAAATGATCTGTAGTTTGTATCCTCTCGGCGAAATTGCGCAGAGTTCTTTGCCTTCTTTCTGAACAATACTGAAGTTCTCTGGACAGAAGATAAAAGTAAAAGATACACGGAGTACTGTTTATGAATTTAATGGGTGCCGTGTATCTAGGTTTTTTTTTTTGAGAACGGTGCGCTAACAAAATGGTTTCCGGCAACTCAGCTAAGGCACAGCAGAGGTCGGGAATCTTTGTTTTGTCTGGAAAATTCTTTGGGCTCAAAAGTTTGCAGAAAGTTTTAAAGCTCTAGTTTTTGCTGGCGAGACATTGATGTTCAGATCAGTTTCGACTCATGACTCGCCTCAGCAGTAGTAGTAATGAAGATTGGAGGAACATGCATCATGCGTTTGCGTTGAGTAAAAAGAGTTTGGATTTGAGCGTAGGGAGGGGCGGGGCCGTGAGTTTGCTTTTAGAAAATGACTGTCGAGGAGACAAACAGCAAAATGCCATGTTTTGGTTGGAGCATGTTACTGTTAAGGTGTGATAAATCGTAGGAAGCGAGGAGTTTGGAATTGTCCCAGTGTGGTTCGTGTGGTTCAAACAGTGTCAGGCGAAGTTGTAACTGGAGAAAGAAAAATGAGAGCAGTGGTCGTATAATTACCAACGGTCTGGTTATAGGTTATACGTTATTTGATGTCTTAAAAACTGGGATTTAGAAGTCACAGCGACAAGGGAGCAGCTTAATCTAAACGATGATTGCGAAACAGTGCATCTTTAGTTCTCTTTGTGCAAAAAATTACTCAAATTTTTTCAAATGATTAGAAAAGAAACGTAAGTATAAGGGGGATTCGGAAAAATGATGCTTCCATAAATTGCTGTGGAGTGACTAAATTTTATAAAAAATGTAAATTCATTCTACTGAAATTTTACTGAAGTTGAATGGTGTAGGTGCTTCGACTGTTTAGATGGTTGATAGAGGGAGAAGATATGAAATAATGACATTTTGAAATTGTGATTTTTGACAGCAGCACTCGGAATACTATCAAATTAGAAGTCACTGTGAAAAAAAATCTCTCAACATCTTTCAACTGCGTGAGAATTCCCAATGAAATCATTCGATGCGGATGGAAATCATCAGTGAGCGCTTTTTTTCAATCTTATGGCTGCAAACTGTCTGGAAATTGTCCCATATCCAGTATAATCCATGTCGGTATAAATAACAGTTCCAGTCGGGTCGTTATGCTTCATCGGTCTGGGTGCTCGGTCCTCAGCTGTTCTTAATTGATCGTTATCCATAGATGTTTCGAAAATAATGTTGTTCCATTCATCAGTTTCTAGCTTCTGAATTAACATTTTTATTTCACTTTTGTAGAACCGTGCACTACACGTCTGAGTTTCCAGCCTCATTTCCAAACCTTCTTTCCAGGATTGTAACCGCGCCGCTAATGACCGCCCGCTTTAAAGACCGCATAGATTAAATGGTATAACGAACATTAAGTTAAGTGATGTCAGCCTGCCTATTTAGGTGATCCTTGCTTGAATTTTTGAAAAAGAGGCCCTACTGATTCAAAAATTTGTTTTGATCCTTTCCTTTGCACAAACGACTGACGCAGTCATTAATTCTTCATATTCGCGAACCTGGTCTAAATATCAATATGCCGTTGCTCTAACTCTCTGTGTTAGAGTCCCCTGTAGGCACGTGCGAACAGATTCATAAACGTGCCCTACCCAGACCTGGTGTGAGCCTGTGAGGGCTAAACTTATATTCCCTGCAGTAAGTCTCAATCTGAGTTAACTTAAGGCGTAACTAAACCTATCTTTTTACTGTAATTTCCCCTCTTGGTAAATTACTGTGGTAGCAAACTTATAACTGCTACGATACTTAACTAAGTTAAATTAAATCTCCTTGAGTTTCTATTATTACAGAAATTTTACTGTACTACTACTCTAATCTACTATTCTCTAGCACTCTCTTATATCGAGCTTCTTTATTTCAGCTATTAGCAACTTTGGTTACTTTGAATTGTGAAGTGGAGGTAGACGAAAGAAGAGGAAGACGTAGATTAAGCAATAGAACGATCCTAACAAGATTATAATTGAAATTGAGTTTCCTTAAGGAATTAAAATTTGATTTGCAACTGACGTAATATAATGATTTGCCAATACAGAGACAGAATAGTCCAGTCAGTTTATAGATTCAAGTTAAGAAAACAACTTTTGCTTAACTGTCGCACAAGAAGCAGACGAATAACAATAATAATAAAAAAACACAAAATCACAATCGTTTATCCCCAAAATCGACATAATCCTCCCTAAAGTTTTAAACTCTTTGTTTTTTCAGCCCTTTGGAGTTTTGGCCTCTCAAAAGGAACCATTTCTTTGTTTTCCAAAAATGAACAAACAACGAGTCCGCCATTGTTACAAGTTTTGGGCGTCGGCAAAGCTTTGTTTAACTGCACTGTTAATTATTAAATTTAGGTTCTAATTTGTACAACTTTTACAACTTTACTGTACCCTCGCAAGTATCGATGAAGTCATCAACAGAGCCTAAAACATAACCTCTAGCCTCTAATTTTTGAAAGACTTTTGGCAAGTAGTAATTTGAAAATTAAAAAAAAAAGATAAAATTGCAATTTAAAGAGAAGACAAAATAAATTTTATAATCTTGATTTGAATAAACGATGCGATTACAAAAAATATTATAGAAAAACAACACATTGCAACAGTTGAATGAATTTGAACGCATAATGAGGAACGGGACAGAACGAAACAATAAAGCAAAACAAAAAGTATCAAACCAGCAAGTTCAGAAATTAAACAAAAGTAATAGAGTTTTAATCGTGACAATTTAAAGTAACACTATAATTAAAATTCAAAGTTGAAACCTGAAACCTTTAAACTTATATAGATGTAGGGGAACTTTAAATTTATAAAGAAGAATAAATGAAAAACTTAATAATGCAAAGGAAGCGAAAACTTTCGAAACTGCTTACACTATACCGTAGTTCACTGGATGCAGCCAACAGATCGACCGCTGAATACGTTGACGATTAAGTGAAGAGACTGTTGCGGCCTTTATATAGCACCGTGGAGCCTTTATCTTCTCTACATGGCCCATCTTTTACTCCTCTCGCCTCAGGTCAATTTCTCTGGTAAGCACTACGTCACCAATTTGTGGTGTTCTTTGGTTTGCTTATCCTTCTTCCTTATGTACCAAAGTGTGACGCTCCTTAAGGCTTAACAAATATTCGTCTCTAGACAGGTGCCAATAATTTTCAGTGAGAGTCATTTAGGCCTTACACGTTGGGAGTCGCCCGTGTTCATTCGCTGTTGGGCACATTCATCAAATTCGTGGAAGTTGGATGCGTTGCTTGTAGTTGAGGAAGAGGCAACGATGAACAACAGGGCAGCTGTACCCAACAGCATAGCCATGGTTTAATAGTAGTGAAGTATCTATAAAAATTTGGATATTTAAATGGTTCAAAAACGAAGAAACTTTTTTTGCGCACTGCTTTTTTACATATATTTTAAAAACGAATTAGTGTAAATTTTTTAACCAAGAATAGTATTGGTAAGTTTTCTTTGTGAAGTGAGATTATTATCGGTTCTTTCGTATATGGTTAGTTTATTTTTTTCATTCACGTTGCACTTCATTGTTTACAATTTATCACCTCTGGTTGAATGAGCTTATGATCCGAATTAGATGTTCTGTTTCAACCTGTTGTAATCACAAAAGATTTGTTTTGAAGATCGACACGCTGTAAATGATTGAGCACACTTCTGAACCGAAAATAATATAATTGAGAGTCATCTGAAACGGCTTTATCTAAGCTTTCGTATGGCAAACTTATCACTTAACGATTATTCCCATATTCTAAATTTCGATAGCATTACTTTAACGCCATCATCGTCATTAGACCTTAGTAATTCCTTAATCTTTGATGATTCCAGATCCCAATACCTCTCTGTTGTTAATGGCTTAGTGTAACATACTATTATACTCTTCGTCGCAATATCCTTTTCCAGAACTTATTTCCCAGTTAAAATGTTGCCTACCTTTGTAGGTATTATGAAGAATCCGTCTCTTGTCTTTTTCAAATTTTAACTGATTAAATTCCAACAGTAATCGGCCCATATCGGGATATCTGGTTCAACCTCTCCGCCCGCTTCAATTGTTCTATAATTATCTTGTATGTGATTACCCATCTTCGTGATAATACTACTAATAATATTCAGAACGTGCGATATACAGCGTTAGAGAGATGCAGATATATTTCTGCTTTGGAACGAACAAGCTTAACGGAATCGGCCATTGCAAACGTGTGTAGTTTTAACCGATCGCTGCCAGTCACTGGTGCATTTAAATTTTTTGCTAACCTACTTTTCGTAAATTATTGTTGACAACTCGTGTCAAATAACAGATAAACTTCCTATTCTACCTCTTCATTTGTCGGGTTACTGAATTTTACCGTAACCACAGTCAAAACCATCTTATCTGCCTTCTCGCCAGTGATCGATTCAACCTCCAACGATGTAGCCTGAATGCCATTTTCAACCTTCTTTGGTGCTGGCAGTTTTAAACTATTGTCAATTTTAGACTGACTCGCATAAGGTTGACAGAAGGCAGTATTATGATTAC